CTTCGATTTGCCTGAGTACCTCTGCGAAGTTTGTCTGATGACGCTTGCTAAGCGTATCCATAGACTTAATCATAAGTACCTCTCTTGAGTCTTTAGAGACTTCTTTAGAGACTTTGTCTATGTTACCATCGAAGATGGACGGAGAAGACCACGGGGCTGTGTAAAGTGGTGCGGTGAAGTGATCACCCCAATTACAGGTGGCGAGGAGACCTTGACGACGAGCCATAGTAGTAGCTGCGGATAGTGCTGTTAAGTGATCCGTAAGGAACTGTTGGTCCTTCTTCTGCATGAGGAGGGCCGAGTAAACCATTCTATCATCCTCAGATGTAGAGTCTCTGAACTTCGTGAGGAGAGTTTCATTGACTGTTCTTGATCTGTTCAGACCAAACAACATCCTCCTTGATATGGTTTCCATCTGGGCTATCTTGCGGTCATCTATTCTGTAAGTCTTAGACTTGGCATCGCTGATCATCTTATAATTATCATCGATATCTTGTGCCTTGTAAAAGGAGTCCATGTTGTGACCTGCAAACTTGTTAGCGTTGAAATGCGGCACATGAGGTGTCTGTGATTTCGTGCTTTACTAAAGGCTGTATCCAGATTAGCTGGCACCGCTGCTATCGGGTCAATCGGAGGTAAGGTGATTGTGTCAGCATCGTCTTCCTTCATAAGATATGTGTGGGCTGAGTTCTCATTCTTAGACGGGGAGGAAAGTTCCAGACTATTCACCATCCAATCTCTTATTTCTGCGTCGGAAAATACGATACCATCTTCATCTTCAGACATCGGGTCACAGATAATATTTTGATGCTCCTCCGACAGTGACTGAGGTGGAGTCCTTGATGATCTGTACGTGGATCGACAAGGTGATCGATGAGGCGATCGATAAGGAGATCGGCGAGTAGAATGATGTGGTGAATGGACTGACGAGTGGCGTCTATAAGGTGACCTTCGCGGAGACTTCCTTGGCGAACGCTGGTAGCTTCGCGAAGCTCTCGGTGACTCTCTTAATGATCTTCTAGATGAGGATGACTTGGAGCCACTTAACCTTCGTGAAGGTTGAGAGTCTGAGTCGGAATCATGGGATGAGAGGATCTTGCTTCGCGAACGTCCTCTTTCATCAAGGTCCGACGTAGGTGATACAGACATCCTTCTGTGAAGCCTTCCGTGACTGCTTAGGATCGGGGTCCTTCGTGCAGGCGGGCTGGGTCGCCCTTCGCGGAGGCTTAGATACAGGCTGGGTCGACCTTCGTGGAGGCGCGTTAGCGGGCTGGGTTGCCCTACGGGACGTGCAAACGGGCTGGGTGCCCTACACGGAGGTATGGGGGTGGGCTGGGTCGCCCGTGGCTCTAAAGGCCTCCGAAGACCGTAGCGGTCTTCCATCATCTGCATGATGTGGTTCATCAGGTCGTCTGGGACGGTCTGCGCTGAAGTAGTTGCTGCCTTCTCTACGATGGTAGCGACGGGACCCTCAGGACGATTCTCTGACATCAGTGGAGGTGCCTCAGCCTGCGTGATAATCTGCGCTGATGTTATAGTTGCTGACACTGGCCGCTTCTTCCGCCGTACATCTGGAATGATGATCGGATCTTCATCATCAAACAGGACCAGCTCTGCAACGGGAACAATCTCGGCTGAGAAAGTAGTGCTGGACTTCGATGATTTCCCCTGCGACGTGGATGTAGCCCTGGGGGTGCGGAGTCTGCGTTGTGACGACGTGGAAGCCCTCCTGGTCTTTGGCTGTGACGACGGGATGTCCGGGGATGCAGGTCGCTTCTTGGAGGAAGCGGACTGCGTCCCACGCCTCTCCTCCGAGGGTAACTCTAACGGAACACCAGACGGGAGGGGGTCGTCCGACAACAGTTGACAGGGTAAGGGCTGTGGTGTATTAGCCATGGCTAAAATCCGTTTACGTGACCTATCTGCTGCGCGTCTTAAGACGCAGAATAAATATTTATCAAAGGCAGAATTCGATAAATTAATACAATATTTACAACGTGAAACGGTAGAGCATGGCGTAGTACAACTAGGGCATATTAAATGCGGGTCAGCAGCAGAAAAACGTAATTTACAAATAGTGCAGATTTTCATCAACGTAATCTATCTGAACAAACACGGAGTCCCGTGAATAAACAGTAGAAACACGAATAAATATCAATGCATTATGTTGAAGGATACTAGCTACACCTCTATAGAAGTCTATGAGAGGTAAATAACTAAGAATAAACAAAGGATATAATGTGTAGGGAGACACAGGCGCTCTCACATCCTGCTCACTGGGCGAAGAAGGAGAGAGTGAGGCATGTGGCGGGAAGTGGCGCCCTCGTTCCCGCGCAAAAGAGGGGATAGAGATAACTCTTGGTGAGTACTAATTAGTGATTTTACATTGAAGGGAGCTTCAATTGGGAGATACAAGTGTTCCACTGTGTTCGCAAGAAGAAGAAGACAAGCAAAAGAGCATGAGTCAGGATAAGGAAAATTTTTCCAATTACGCATTGAAAAAATAATTGTTGCGTACCAATGACGCATTTAAAATGTTAGATACACAAAAAGTTGAAAACAAATGCGTACGGAATATATTTATAAAAATCGCTTGCGTAATGAAAAAGACATCGATTGCTATCAAGTTGTACTGTTAGTATAGGACAAGTGTTGTACTGTCAGTATAGGATGAGTGATTTTTTATGAAATCATTTCCATTATATTAAAGTTGGTTTTGATAAGGTATGACATAAGGCAGAACATACCTGCTTAGTAAACTTACTCAGTCACATAATACTTAGGTGAGTAAAATGACTGAAATACGCACATATTTGAAAGCAGTGGGTAACGGAAAATGAAATACTCACTCAACATTCATAATACCCACTCCAAAAATACAGTGGGTACAGTACCCACATGAGCTAAATCTTATCTGGAGCTCTGTCTCATTGTGATAAATAACACACAAATTCAAGAAAAACACCTTTTTTTAAACATTCAGGAGTATTCAACTCAAGTGATTCTGAATAACAAATTGAATTCATGAAGGAATATGTTTTGATGCACTGAATCGGCGAGTGAATTGTACAGCCCTAATGCCTCAGACCGTTACCCCATTGGTGCAACCCACATGCATAGGAATTTGGGGTGGGTATTGCAGAGAATTTTCATATTGCGATATATTGCAATGCGGAAGCATATATTGCGATATGTATTGCAATTTATTGCAAGGATCATTTTTTTAACAAAAACTACTTATAATCGAGTTAATGCTTGATTATAAAGCAAAAAAACAACAAAATCACTATGATTGATTAACCTTTTATAAAAACTTTTAATCATGACAAAATAAAAATGTAAGTAACATTTGGCACTAATGAAACAGGGAAAAGAACAAATAAAACACCGGAAATATCCGAAGATTTCCGAGTGTTACGAAGTTTTCCGAATGCATGTCAAAATACCGGTTTTCGATCAGCGTATCGCAATACGTATCGTTTTCATGTCTGAACCGGTAAATACCGGTAAACCGGTTATATTGCGCAGCCCTAATAGGAATTGTGCGGAGAAATGAAGAAACATAACTGGGGCAAACTGGGATTTGAACCCAGCTTACTGGAAGCAGTAGCAATGGGGTCATGATCCATGGGGCACGAAGACAGCAATGGGCCAAGTCACAAGATTGCTTGTTTGTGTGTTATCAACACCACACTCAGCAATATTGCAGCTATACGCAGCGGTTTGTAAATAATCAAGTCTGGACCCGGCAATCCAGTGATCAACAGCATGAGTATCATTCTACGCAATTGGTATATGATTATACGTGTTCACCAAGTTAGCCAGCCTGACCACCCGATCCCGTTAGTTGCAACTTAAGACAAGCATGGGTTGCTGAAGACCAATTCTAACCCGGATTTTCACAGGTAAACAGGAATGACGCAAGCACCTGACAACATGGGATACCAGAGATTTATTCCTACTCAGAATCTTCACATGGTGATGCAACATCAATTATATATAATTTGTTTGTTGTTGTTTTGCATCAAACTCAGCAATATTCCAGTTATGACAATGGTCTGTAAATAATCAAGTCTGGACCAAACAATCCAGTGATTGTAATCACACAATCTACACAATTAACATATGATGACATTCTTCCCCAAAGACAACATCATCCTGTTAGTCGCCTTTCACATACAAACATACTTTACGACACTGTGATATTTCAAAATCATGAAATCTGAATGTCATATCCACAGAATAATTAGGCCAGACATTGTATCCTTATTATAACTTTCTCAGTCTATGTTCATAATATCTAATGAAACAGCCGGCAAACACAATTGTATAACACATCAAGTGATTTATATGTTAACTTCCTTTTAACTATATCAACAAAAGGTTCAACCTGATTTTAATTTTTATTTAATAAGATACAGCTTTTCATTAAATATTTTTCATATATTTGCAGTTATTAGAACACGATTTACAGCAAAAACAATGAAATCATTTGATCAGGCCTAAACATGAGTACCATGCTTACAATCACCGTTTCTCTGGTAAATATTGCTTCATTATGGAAATCATAGCGACAGATTTATCTTATTGGACTGGAGATTGACTAGACAAATTACCTTCCTAAATGAATATGGAAGTCTTCTCTTATGGCTGACGGGGATTTGTTATTGGCAATGTTCACTGATTAGTTAGAAACTGATTAGACTTTGAAACCTAATACACATAGCCATAGGTTCTGGTGATATATAGCATTAACCTGACAACTAATATCAATTTATGTTGAAAAGTATATATAAAAATTAATGTTATCATCTGTTTCATTTCTTGTACGGCATGCTTGTTTTGTTCAAACTGTGGTTCACCTGCTGCGGTGCCTGTGTGTAAATGTAGATGAGATTTGTCTATTCTTCTCATAAAATCACAAATCATGTTCACTGTAGACTATACAAATGATGAGTACCATTCACCTGTCGACTAACATTGATTTTAATACTACTCACCTGTCAACTAGTATCGATTGTACAGAAGGCTTCACTTAGGCAATTGCTGCATTGGGCGAAGACGGCAGGAACTGCACCGATTAAACTGCACGGAGTCACCTAGGAGGAATATGAAAAAACAAACAGGCATCAGTGGACAGCACTGCATGCTGGGACTGCAATGTGTCTGGACGTAACACTGCTGAGAATCAATCGCAAGCCGCTTCACCCTTAAAGTTCAATTTTCACGAAAAGGAGCTTATTTTTTCACTATCTGATATTGTGTGATGAGTCAATACTTTGCTCTTGAGACTGAGTGTTGATCACATATTAGATCTTATTGTGCAAATAATAAACTACGGAAATATTGTAAATAATGACACAAGCACTATAGCTCACCTACATGGAAAGTTTTTTGAAACATCGAAGATCAAATTTAGATTATTTTCAACAAGCATGCTTCGAGTTTCTTAAATCCATCAAAGGGTACACCGATCCCTTGAACAGCCATTCAAGAGAATCATAATTAACTCATAGGGCTGTGTATTGGCAAAACATTTTACTACAATATATTGCATTATGGGTATTTCTAATGTGATATGTATTGCGATATATCATTTTGGTTTGGTTTGTTGTTTTACGTCGCACTCAGCAATATTCCAGCTATATGGTGGCAGTCTGTAAATAATCGAGTCTGGACCAGACAATCCAGTGATCAACAGCATGAACATCGACCTACACAATTGGGATACGATGACATGTGTCAACCAAGTCAGCGAGCCTGATCACCAGATCCCATTAGTCGCCTCTTACGACAAGCATAAGTTACTGAAGACCAAATATAACCCGGATCTTCAGGAGGGCGATATATCAGTGGTAAAAGGCTGATGTGCTGGACACAGATTGCACATGCAGATTTTTTCTTCATACAGCAGAACAATAAACAAAATATTGCTGTACACATAATTTTAAAAGGGTACAGAAGTATGTCTGTAATATTGTGCAATCCCAAATTTGAGAATGATTTGCCTCTTGAGTTACAATTTTCAAAGAGACTGAAGAAAATCTAACAGGTAATTTCTTGTGGTCTTATAAAACATTGTTAGGGATCATCATTAAATAAACTTCAGCTGCAGTTTCCCTTTATTCTTTCCGACATTAACATGATTCAACAATTTCTTCTCTGTTGGAATTATTTTAAAAAGGCAGGTTTTATCAATGATCTAATAAGTTCAGAGAGTATGTTCACATTCTCGTAATATTTCTTTCTGAAATTTTTTATTAACATCGTAACTCATAAAACAGTTCTATAACTGCCAACAAGTTTAAAAAAATAACAGCATCTCAAGATATCAAGAATCACGAGTTGCAAACAACAGAATATCTTCAAATTTGATTGTAGCTGTTCATGTTTTATAATCTGTGAATTATTTGCATATTTGTCTTCGTATAACTCTGTACAACTGTGTACAACAGCTATTAGTCCTGTTACGATTCACTTGTGTATTCTGTGAATCGAGCCGTATCCGAATCATTCAATTTATTATTCACAAAATTTGCATATTTAAGAATCTTTTTCAGCGAGTTTTATTTGGAACTAATTTGCTTTTTATTTAAGTGAGATAAGCAATATGGAATACTGCCAACATATAATTTTGCCAAGACCCTTTGCGACACTGTTCATGATGTGTTGCTTTTTTGCTTAATAGAAAATATCTTGCAAATGTTTCAACTGAAGCAATTACACGAGAGGTTTGTAATTTGAATTCCTTGAAATTATACATAAAGTATTCATGAATATTAATATTCATATTTGTTACTAGATGTATATATTTGGAACATATATCATATTTGCTTCAATGTTTATTTGTCGCAGCCTCCCAAGTCATGATAACAATATCACAATATTCAGTCTATAAATATGAATCATAAGCACTTAAAAATCTTAAAAAATGTTGGCAACAAAATATTCTACACTTGATCATTTGGGCATGAAGATATTGACTTCCTGTCTTGATACATTTGTGAACCATTTTCTACAACTGCCTTCACTGCCTGCAAATCAGTATGACTAGATCTCCATAAATATCGATAAAGACTACAGGAAATTGGTAAGAATTTACAAGCAACCAAAAATCCTCAATTTGAAGCAGAGCAGGAAAATATTGACTTCCTGTGTATGTTTTATCTCAGAATCCGTGAGCTACATGATTAATGTTCCTAGTTCTACATTTGTCTACAACTAGCTATTACCACCACAAAGTCTTAACAAGCCTTGTCACAAGATATCATCCATATCTATCAATCATGACAACATGAAACTTTAAAAACTTATAGTAATAGAAAACTTGCAATTTCATTAGGAGCAAAATAATATGTACATGTTTTATCTCATAATCCCTGAACTAGATTTGCCTACAACTGCCTCTAAACCTTCAAGTAGAATTACAAGACACCATGCATTGATATCAGTCAATAGTGTACTTGAAACTTTTAAAATATGGAACACAAAATAATTCAGCCACTTGACTTGGAGCGACAACATATTGAATTCCTGTCAACATTCATCAATATTCCTGCATTTCCAGGCATAATAGACATCCTCTCTCAGCCCTGTTTTACAAACATCAATAATTAATAGGATTGTTTCAATCAAAACATTCTCTAATAATACAGGATTTTTTGTCTGAAAGCCATATTGCGGATTGATTTTTATCCTCTATTGATGCTGGCAATCCACGCTCAGTTAGTTACGGTACAGTACAGCTATGTCAACACCCACCAATTATTCACCGCTGGTACCTCCAGCATCTTGTATTACCGTTGCGATGAAGATAATGTCGCGCTGGGTCAATACCACAGTTAAAGAAAATATGATTGTAAAGACAACTTAAGATGAGTTTGCAACTGTATACATCACGAGGCCACATTATCATATTATCAATACTGGGTTTAACAGTCTCGCTTTTAGCAAGCGTTAATTTTCGTCAAATATTCAGCAATGTCAAACAGTTGAGATTGACTTTCTCCTGGTCGTCTAGAAAGAAAGTCAATACTTGTGCTCCGTGTGTGGGCTTCTGATTATAATGCTGACACCATTGCTTGGAACTTATGGGAATGTCAAGGTCGTTGAATGGCTTTTTGGCGATAAATGCTGATGCAATATTTCTTCAGTCACTCAAAGCTTGGGCATATAGCCTGGTGAACTTCTACACAAAACATTCACAAGGTTCTTTAAAAAGGTGAGACAATATTCCAAATGAAACATATATTGTGACTAGAAACAATTTTCTTTCATGTTCAAGATAAGCGTTTAAGCAACAAACTGTGAGAGACAGTTATCCATTTTCAAATTGTTCCTGTAGCAAGTGACATAGACATTGGGTGTAACAGCAGAATCTGTTCAACACCCAATAACATCACCATAATTTACTTATACATAATACATGTTTACGATCCGTAGGCTCTTGTGGATTACGCCAAACTCTGTCCTTTCACCTTAATGGCTTCATAGAAAACATGTCATTGAATATTCTACAGCAGATCCAAAACGTGGCTAACATCCACAGCCCAAAAGCTGAAGCAGACGTCATCATTCCAAAGGGAGACAAAGTCTTAATTCAGTTGTCTTTGACATTTAACGTTTGATGTTTTGAGTTTGTTTTAGCCAGCGAAGCTCGACTATTATAGGAGGCAGTGAAACTTAGCCTGAAGGAGAATAGGCTACAGGGATGGAACAAACAGCACTTGCCTGACAGACGATTATATCGTCGTTGAGACAACACAACTCTGTCATAGAAGCCTGTGTAAGTCATCCACTTGTCTGCATTCAGACTGTGTGAAAACATTATGATAGAATTTTAAATCTAAAAGATTTCATTAATTTTTGTAACTGAAAAGCAGGTGGTATGGACTTAATTGAATTAGGCACAAATTTTGTATCAGTTGGTTTAAAAACCTAGGGCATAAAATTCAAGTGGTAAAAATTACATAAATGATAATTTTCACACCCAAATAGTTTTTGACTTCCATGTTTCAATTTCTAACATGCAGCAACAATGATAACGACACCAAATGAGATTACAAAGCAGTGATGTCATACTTTGAAGAATGGTGTGCCATTTATTTGCTGTAAATTGGGAAATAATTATCTGTCTGCACGACTGTCAGTAAATCATGAAATTAACCTGAAACCGAACTAAAACAAGTGTGAACCCATGGCTTAACATAAAATGAAATTAATGTCAGTAGCCTTTTAACCCTAAAAACTAAAAGCAAACTTTAACAAGACTGTAGACTTAGGAATTCCATTATATTGTATGGGAGCCATAGCAGTTTGATTGAATACACGCAATATCACTTGTTATCTTCAACATCCAGAATGTCAACAGAACGATTTATGTTCTTATGTAATACCTAAGGGGGAAAATGATATTTTCCAGCATTTTAGGGATCACATTCTTTAAAATGAAACATATGAAAAAATTAAGCTTCCCCTGATTATCAAATGCTCTGCCCAATGTAAGTCATATAATCATATATTATCAGATTTTGCCAATCAAATCCTAAACAGCATACAATCTCACCAGAGATGGTCACAGACGACCACAGGACATTCAATAATGTCTAGTTGACCAATCAAAAACAAGTTAGTTTGCATCAACATCACCTCATCATCGGCTCAATATGTCATGACAGCGACCACCAGCAATTATTATCACATGGGGGGTAATATATCTCGTTTCTGACTATGCAAAATAATCAATAAGTGGATAATAATCTGTGTGATGGCAAAAGGCCAAGGTAGCAGTACTAATGGTTCTGGAACTATCAGTGTGCACAGACCTAACATTAAGCCACATGAGGTTACAGTAATGTGGATATTTCTACCAAAAATAATCTACCAAGAATTGCTCTTTAACAAAATTTCCAATATGGCAGCGAGAGATATGTTATCTTCCTGCAGAGTTTGAAAGCTTGGAATTGATCTGAATTCTTCATAATATTGATTTAATTCAAATGATCGGATGAAACGAATTTCAAGAGGAGAGATGAATACTTAACTGTAAGATCCTAATTAATCAAACAGTTGGACTATTACAGCTTTATTGGGAATATCA